GGTACAGATATCCTACTGACCTTCCTCAGTCTCCTAGTTTTTGAGTAAGCAACAGTATATGAAGCATACGATAACCACCTATAGAAAAGAAGACTGTGTCAGGGTTCAGTTATCGGTACCCTGGTGTCCTGTTTCTGTCTGTGAGATATGGAAACAGTTGCAAAATATGCAATGTGATCTCCAGGGATCAGCTCTACTCCCACCCAGCTCTACCACCCACTAGGCCTGGCTTTAAAAAAAAAAGTAATCTGAAGAAATATTTTCTGTTGTAAGTGCATATGGAAAACAAAATTATATTTTTGTCCAATTCATTTATAACAGTGGAGTTTTTTACATGGATTTAAAACAAACAGTAGCTTTAAAAACTGCCATGTGATCTCTTATCAAAAAGGAAAATATACTCAATTCCTAAAAGAAATTAGTTATGATAAAACAAACATTTTGGAATTACCTATTCTATTGATCTCAGATTAATATATACTTATTTTTTTTAGTTACAGAAGTACAATATGGAAAATGAGATCTTTATTCTAGTCAAGCAGAACCGGTACCTCACACTGTTTTGAGAGAATGGCATGTAAAAAATTCATTCACAGCTTGACTAAACATCAATTTAATTGTTCTTGATTTGTAAAGGTAGAGTACTTAATATTCTGAGTGAGTTTATGCTTTACTCATTACAGTATTGAGTAATATATTTGCTCTTTTAAAATGTTTTCAGCAAAACCGACAAATACATTACTAATACCATAGCTATTTGATTTTAAAGTACTAATAATTAAAAGTTGAAAGGAATGTTGTAAAACAAATTTTGCAACGTGATTAATGACTGTACCTGACATCAATTTTCTAGGAAATGCCAGTCACAGCAATGTTGAAAATCAATCACACACAGGAAAGAAAAAAATGTAGGAAAGCAAGCATACAAACAACAGGACAAAAAAGGGCACTGGACTAATCACTGGGATTGAGGTTGGGGGATTAGAGGGAATTCCTCCTGTCAGACTTCAGGTTGTAGTGAATTATTCATACTCCTCCATGCCAAGTAGATTGTACATACAAGTTCTACAGAGCAAGCCTTACCAGAACCTCTAGCACAACATCTTGGCTTCCCTACATTTGGTTGCAAATGGGCCCACAAAGGAAGAAGCAGGATACAATATTTTTTTTCAACTGTAAGATTTTAATATATCAGGTCATCATCATATCTCTAGTCTTTTGAGGGCTAGTCCTGGGGTCATGTTTGTATTCTTTCAACAACTATCTTAAATTTTAAACAATGTGCTGATACAGACCAGGTTAAGTGGTGGGAAGCCACTGACATCAACAAAAAATGAACTGACTTACACCAGGATTTATAGAATTTATACTGAAATGATACAAAATTAGAAAATATATAAAGGTGAATACTTTATTACCACCTTTATTAGGCAGCTCTGAAATAGTGCCATAGGTGTTCATGGCACTTTACAGAGAATTCCCTGCCTTAAAGACTTTGTAATTTGAAATAAGATTTTTTTTTTTAAGGGAAAATTTTTCATGTCCCAAGTCAAATCAGCCAAATCAATTCCAAATTTGTGCGAGTTATTCAAGAATCATATGCGGCCCTGCTACCAGCAAACATCCTGCACCCCAGCATGGGGCTTCAGATACTTCCATATCCTTTGGTGGGCATCCTACATGTGGGACCAAGACCAGAGGCTTGGGGTTTGGATGCCCCCAAGTTTCACTTGCCCTCAGCCATATGGCCCGCAGGAGCAAGCTAGGGAGGAGTCTCCCATTTCCATAAAGTCAATGTATAGCCAAAATCTTCCCACTGGAAGTCAAATTGGGAGACTAACTATGCATTACCTCAGTCAGGGTAATGCCCCCTGCCACGTTCGTGGTTTTCCCCTGCCAGTAGGAAAACCACCTTGGTGTTCACAGTAAGCACTATAAAAAAGGGAAAAACACACCTTGCTTTCCTACCCTTTTACACTGAGGGCTAGTTACTAGGTTGAGATATTTTAAATAAAACACGTAAGGAAACAACATAGAATTAGTACCATTAGGTCTAATAAAGGGAGGAAGTACTGAGG